AAGAAAAAAGCCGGAAGTGGCGCTGTGGCTCAAGTGGTAGAGTGCTAGCCTTGAGCTGAAGAGCTGAGGGACAGCGCCAAGGCCCAGAGTTCAGGACCCACGACTGGACCCCCTCCCCTCCCCCCAAAAAAACAGGGAAAAAAGTAAATATTTCAAAAAATAAAAACTCTACTTGGATTATAATTGCAAATCACTGATTTAGCACTGTGTACTCAGTAATTCGTGGGTCCTAACAAGTTAGTTTTTAGCATATGCACACTTATAAATTGGACTTTATAATGACTTTGTTTATGAATGCGCTTATTTTATATAGTATACACTCATCCATTAGTGTAGCAAGTTATAATATGTGGTCAGCTGTCCCTTTTACAAAAGTTGGTTAGAAAGTAGAGCATTTGAGTTTATTTTGAGTATAAAGGCAACGTTACCTTTTCCCAAGGGTTTGAGCACCACTGAGAATTCTCAGCCAGTGCTGAGAATTGTTTATTTCTTTGGAGATTCATTTCCACCACTTTCTACCAGGCCTCCATCATTGAAACCTCAATGTTGACTTTATTGGCTAAGTACCATTATAGACAGTCTTGTTTAAGAAAAAGAAATTGACCTTGGAAATGTACAATTCAAAGAGGTTAGGCCATTTCTTATACTCACTGCTAACTTGCCTGTTAGTGGTTCTGAGGGCAGAATAGTAGAATCAGCAACAGAACTGAGTATTCTTTATAAGACTTCTGTTTGAGTTATGCTACAGAATGTGGCCAATTTAGGAATTTAATTAAGAAAGAATATTATATATTCAAGAGAGAACGTCTTTGGGAAAAACTAGTACTTACTATCAGTGAATACAGTTTAAAAGTCAAAGGAAATACTCTCTTCAGGATTCTTTCTTTCTTTTCAGTAGCCAATTTAGGAATTTAATTAAGTGGTTAATTGGAGATAAGAATCTTACAGGGATTTTCCTGCCCAGGCTGGCATTGAATCTCAATTATAAGATCTCAGCTTCCTGAGTAGCTAGGATTACAAGCGTGAGCCACAAGTGCCCAGTTATCCTGAATCCATTTTAAAATGTCAAAGGAAACAGTATCTTCAGAACTCTTTCTTTCGCTTATCTCTATCTTCCAATGTCACAGGCAGTCTTTTAGGCATTGGGTAGTAATTATTAAATTACTCTTTTTTTTTAACAACCAAACTTAACTTGAACAAGAATAAGTTTATGATGCTATTAGTGAATGTGTTCACAAAGCAGTTTTCCTTTTTTGTTTTAACTTTAAATTGTTTTTATTTATTCAACTTACAATGAAAACATTTATGCCGACTTTTTTACTCACTTAAGTTTATTTTAGCTGAAAAATTTAAACTAAAATTATATATATATCAACAGGGTAGTGTGATGTTTTGATACAGGTAGGCACTGTGTAATGTTGAAATCAGGTAAAGCATATTTTTCTCCTCAAACATCATTTTTTTATGATAAAAGCTTTGGAAATAAATCCTTTCTTGAAGCTTTTTGAAATGTATAGCACATTATTGTTACCTACATTCACTAGGACTTCCTGCTACTGTAGCCTTGCTTTTTAAAATCAGAGTACACATTTATTTACTTTGGTTGGACGAATATTTCCTTTTTTATAATATAGTAAGGAAGTTTCAATTTATTTCCTCATCTAAACATGCATAAAGTA